TCTATCTTGGTTTGGTCTTAGTCAGCTTTGCAGAAGCAATCAGTACAGTGAGTGAGCATGTTGATGTGTTCCGTGGGTCTTTGAGTCAAGTGAGTTTTCTCACTATATTACCTATGTCATAGTAGGGTGCATGCTAAACTAGTTGACTCTTAGTAGATGATGGTTGTTATGAGTATTTACCGAGTTTCTGATAACTCCAAGATTGTTGATAGTCCTCAGGATTGCTGATAGTCCCAGTCTTGTTGATAACTCATAGTTGTTATATTGACAAAGGGGTTGTGGTATGTTGATTAGAGTATCAGGAGGTCGATAATCATCTAGTTGAGTGTTCTAGGGGTTGTATGCAATCACGTATGATCGCCTTAGAACTCTTGATTTAGGTTTTTTTGTTGGTTCCTTTATTGGTTGTGGCTTAAGAGTGGGATCAACTATTTGACCGTCTATCTCACCTCTGATTACATATAACTATGCATTTATTAGTGATCAGCCAGTGGTGATGTAAAGTTTTGTATGAAGTCTGTAATGTGGTAGTGCATTGTAGACACGTATACTAGTGTAGATAGTCGCCTGTGTGTTTGTTCTTGTCCATTGATTAATGCTATATGTATCTTTGATATTGTTGAGGATTCTAGGAATGTTGATAGTCCATAGGGTTGTTGATAACCCATAAGGCTGTTGTGAGCCCATATGAGTAATAACAGTCCCAAGGTTGCTGATAACAGATAATTGTTTATATTTTTGTGTTGTACGTGTTAAGTAGGATAGTTTATAGTCGTCGGGACTATTAATAGTCCAAGGGTTGTTGATAACCCATAACTGATTATTATGTTGTGATGTATGTGATATTTTGGGGAAACTCACTAAGCTTTTGATTACAGTTGTGGATTAAATGTTTTAAGATATCATTGGGGATCATAAGAATGCAAATGCATGACTGTACACACTCACCAACTACATTGGAGATTCCACATTTGTTATATTACTCTGATTCCAAACAACTATATTTTGAAACAAATGAGTTTTCTTAACATAGGTTTATGAAAATAATGTTTTTTATCTTCACTAAAAATAAAAAATAAAAAATGTTTGTGAAAATGAAATGTTACAAGTTGGTATCCGAGCCACGATTTACTAAAATTAAAAACATTTATTCAAATAAAAAAAACCATGATATTTACAAAAAATACTTTTGACATGTTATTCGTTTTCGAATTATATAGTTGCACAAAAAAATCACCATATGTGAAAATAATTATTTCATCATATGTGAAAATAATATTTGACATATCATTCGTTTTCGAATTATATAGGTGCACAAACCAAAATATATTTTTATGTGAATTTTTTTTTATAAAAGGTTTTTTATGTGAAAATTTGTTTTTTATAGTACAAAACCTTCTATGCGAAAAACCTTTTGGACAAATTTAAAAAAAAAAACATATTTTTCACATATAAAAACCTTTTTTTCAACAAAAATATTTTGTTAAAAAAAGATTTTATTTAGAAAAAATAAGATATTTTTATGTGAAAATATATTTTCTATATAAATATGATTTTATAAAGCAAAAATAACATATTTGAAGCTAAATTTTGAGAAACAATATGTAAAAAAATAGATTTAAGATGAATTTGTAACAAAATTTTAAAATCTGGGCTAAAAGTTTAAATTTTTGACTAAATTTGTAATAAAATTTAGAAAAAAATATCATAAATGGTCATTGTGGTTTCCCTAAATCTGAAGTTTAGTCCTTATTGTTTAGAAACATCATAACTGGTCCTGTGCCTTCAGAACTTTTGACGATTGTTTCTTATTGCTAACTCCGTTAAGTTTTGTCCGTTAACTAAAGAGTATTTTTATTATTTCACTATCATAGGGACCGTTTATGATGTTTTCTCTTATTATTATTATTTTTATAAATTAAATATAATTATTTAATTTAATATATAAAAGGTCTATCTCTATCTCTCTCTCTCTCTCTCTCTCTCTCTCTCTCTCTCTCTCTCTCTCTCTCTCTCTCGTAAATAGTAAAGACACACCTTGTCTTCCGCCCTCACCTCCAAAAACTTTGAACCCCATCTCTATTACAACCGGAAGTTGCCATCACCACCTTTCGCCACCACCACCATCGGATGCCACCGACCAAGGTAAGTGATTTCCTACCCCTACCCTGATCAAAACCCACAGATCCACCGACATCGCTTCCTATCAACAGCCCTAAATCAAATTTGTGGAAATAAAACTCTACACCTCAATTTTTTTCTAGCAACACCATAACCACCACCGATTATCACCTCTCGTCTATTTCATCCCGATTTAGCCTCTCCCTTGTTCTCTATCTCATCCCCGACCGCATGTAATTTTTCCAATGGTTGTTTCTTTCCCACGACCGATGGTTGTTAAACCTCCGCGAGGATCATCATCATCGAACCTTGAAATCCACCACTTCTCACGGAATATGAAATCCATCCTCACCACCTACCTACCCCTCTCTCCTTCATCCCATACGAACATACAAACATACCCATCTTCTTCCTTCTTCTTGTATAAAATCAAACATATGAACATACACACTCTGTCAAAATTAAACCCTCTGCAAATCTATGATCTTTGATATAACATATAGAGGAAGAAGAAGAAACTAGGGTTCTTGAACCCATTGAAAATCCCCATAAAAAAGACCCAAAACACCATTCCCTTATTAAAAATCCCCATACCTTCTTATTTGATTATGATTTCAACTTTCCTTCCTGTTTTGAAACGACTATGATACCCAGTTACAGTAAAATCGTTACTCACTCAATCAATCATCCAGGTGTGCGTGAAGATCTTTATGCTAAAGGATTTGGGCCAGTTTCTCATTTTTCACTCTTAATCGTTCACGTGTGTTGATTGGTGTAAAAAAGTCATGAAGAACAATGGATTTTGGGTGTAAGCCATTGAACTGGGTATTCTGATGTAAGGTTCAATTTTAAATGTAAGCTTCAAAATCGTCATTAGCTCTAGCAGAAACAAGACGAGATGGAGTGCAAGCTTTAACTTCTCCTTGAGTTATGATTTATGTTGTGTTTATGTGTGTTACATTAGAATAAAGATGTTTCTAGTTTATAGTGGTTCATTCAAAATGAGTATGAGAGAGAGAGAGAGAGAGACTTTTTATATATTAAATTAAATAATTATATTATTATTATTTTTTTAAAATAAGAGAAACATCATAAATAGTCCCTGTGGTAGTGAAATGACAAAAATGTCATTCAGTTAACGGATAAAACTTAACGGAGTTAACAATAAGAACCAATCATCAAAAGTTTTGAAAGCATAGGGACCAACCATGACGTTTCTAAACCATGAGGACTAAACTTCAGATTTGGAGAAACCATAGGGACTATTTTTGATGTTTTTTCTAAAATTTATAACCTGAGAAAAAATGTAAATTTTGAAAGTGAGGATGACCTCATAACCGAGAAAAATGATGAAAATAAATACAATTACCAGTATTCGAAACTTAGTCTAGAAAAAAATATAAAAACTTAATTGAATATGATGTCAAAATGAGACTTTATAGTAAATTTCTTTTTTTATGGAAGAAAAATAACTAGAAGTGTCCAATCAAAAAACTAAACAAATACAAACTTTTTTTCTGACAAAATACAAATTTAAAGTTAATATATATAAATATATATATATATATATATATATATATATATATATATATATATATATATAAAAGTTTTTCTATGAGATTAACCCAATATAAGACAAAACAATTACCAAATCTAATTTTTTTAATAACAATTAACAAATATAATATTTTAATGTTTATTATCGAAATATACAAAATTCGATTGAACTCTTTAATGGATTAAATAAAATTGATATGATTCGAATTGGTACTATGTTAAAAATCGGATAATATTCTCTTAGAATGAAAACATGTATCTTCTAAATGAGGAATAAGTTCGAACCTAAATTTTGATGTTATAACTTAGCATTTACCAATTTAGACGTTAGGTTGCGACATGTTTAAAAGGGGTCCTTTTCCTATACCCTGTAAACCTACGTGGTCGTTATTATAAACATCCCTAAATAATAACTTCTATAAACGTGTTTTATTTGTGTTTCCATAATAAAATAAGAGTAAATAAGTATCCTCCGACCAATTTTATACCCACATCAATCAAATTAATTTTTTATTTTTGATTTGATATTATTTTTTTGAGAAATTAAATATCTTCTTACTATTAATTCCTACAAATTTTCCTACCCAATTGAATAGTAACATGTGTATCATGTAATGTTCATTTAATGATATTTTAATACATTAATATGACACATCTAATCAGTTAATTGAGTAGAGGATTTGTAGGAATAAAAGTAGAAGATATTTAATCTCTTTTTTTTCCTTTTTGTTTTTGATTTTTTTTTACTATTATTATTATTATTATTATTATTATTATTATTATTATTATTACTATTAATTTCAATAATCAGAAAAAATTCGGAAAACATTTTAAATTTCGGATAACATTTTAAAATTCGGTACACATTATAAATTCGGCATTATAAAATTCGAACGACTTTTTTGTCTGTAATTAACAAATATAAAAATATATTTAAAACTGATTTTATATAGCCGTTTGAATTTATAATGTTGTCCGAATGTTAAAATTTTGTGTGAAATTTATAATAATGATAATAATAATAATAATAAAAATAATAATAATAATAAAATAATTAAAAAAAAAAAAAAAACAAAACAAAAAATCAATTTGAAGGGGCATATGTTTTTCCCTCAACAACACGAACAATAACAAGATGGATGAAAGGTATATGAAGTTTAATCAAACAAACCAAGCTCGAATCGAGTAAAAGAAAAACTAAAAATATTATATACGCATCAATCAGTAATCAGTACAAATGATCTAACTCTTTACAAGTATATCAATCAATTATCTTTCTCAAAAAACCAAGAAAAAGAAAGAAGATCAGAATGGATCAAATCTTAATGAAAAACCAGAGACTCAAAGCAATGAAGGCCATCCAATTCCGGCGCCCAACGAGCACCGGAACCCCTTTTACTCCGGCGACAATCGGCGTTCTTGGTTGTCTCCGGCGTCACCTTCTTTTGATCATCTTGAATGGTAGAACCAGGATTCTTGATTCTAAAGGAACCCAAAGATTGACACATGATTTCCGCAGATAAAGCATCGAAACAACTGAAGATGGAATTCATGTTTGATGAATATGAACTGATCGATTTGATTTGGTTATATGTTTGCAATGATAGGAGACGATGAATTAAGATTGAATTGGGGGAATGGTTTATATATGCAGAAAAAAAGGAGGTTGAATCCTTGCAGTTTCCTTTATTCTTTTCCTCGTCGTCGGCGTTGAATGTATCCTAAAATAAAATCGATCTTTTCAACATAATATGACTTTCGAATCTAATTATTTAATTGATATGGTTCCAATTCATACTATATGTTAAAAATCGGATAATATTCTCTTAAAATGAAAATATGGATCTTAAAAGTGAGGAATAAGTTCGAACCCTAGTTTGATCTCATAACTTACTATTTACCCATTTAGACTTTTTTGGTTACGAAAATTATAACATGTTTATCATGAGTTGACATTGTCCAAGTCCCACACGGCATGCATGAAAGAAAAGTCAACCTGACTTTTTTTTTTGGATGCAACTTAGAATTTTGTAAATAATCTATAAGCATGGTCGAAAAGGCACGAATTTGTCTATAATCGTTTTGCACTTTACAAGATATTGATGGTAAAATTAAATTAGGATCGAAAGATACAACAAATATGAGCTAGTCTCCAAATTTTGTTACAAGGTTTTGTTTGTGTGGTTCTATTGTAAACTAAAGTTAAGAAGATAAAATCTTTAGCATAAACAAACAATATAACCGTGACCATGTACATCTAAAGGTTCAATATGACAAAGATACTAACGTACATGTCCCGATGGTCTATCTAATCTGATGAGCTGATATATATAAGTGTCACTCAACCAAAAGTTGAGGTTTCAAATCCCTCTGTGGACAAAATGTATAAATTTAAGAGTGCAATAGTGTGTGTATGTGTAAACCATACCCAAAAAAAAAAAAAGGTGACCACACGAAGTTTTGATGTTCCATGAATCTTTTTACTATCTAGAAAGAATGATTATAAGTTGAACGAACGAAATGGACAATTATTTAGCTTATGAGTGAGATCTTTGAACAAAAATATTGAATACCCTAAAGTTTAGAAGACTAAAGACTTGTTGATATATATATATATATATATATATATATATATATATATATATATATATATATATATATATATATATATATATATATATATATATATATATATATATATATATATATATATATATATAGAGAGAGAGAGAGAGAAGATCAAATAAGAGCCCTAAAAAGTTAAGAACTCTAAGAACATCTTATTTTTAATGTATTTATGTTTTCTCTTAATGTTTATTTATTTATTTTTCCGATAAATGCCAAAAGCAATAAGAACATTATGATATTTTTAAAACTTTAACATTATTTTTAAAAATCAGATCTCATGATTTCTTCCACTCATACTTTCTTACAAACTTTCAAGAACTTATACCAACACTATACCACTATCTCCAACTAACATCATCATCCACCCCCATCGTCGCCTCTAGCCACCGTAGCTGCCTTACCATCGTCCTTACTGTCACTCTGATGCCTCCTACCGGCTACCATCATCCAAACTCATAACCAACGACCTCCGACCTACAAATTCCAACCTCTAACTAATCTAAGCTAGATGTCAATCTCAGATCTGGAACTTCAGTAACTTTAAGTTACATCTTAACTACTATCTAGAACTTCTGGTGATTCTAAACCATATCCGACCTTCTACACATTCAGATTATGAACTACAACTATCACCGTCGAAACACCAGATCCAACTTTCCACACTTTCAAATCTGTGATATATGCTTCGTCTGCGACCTATGGCCTCGCCAAAACACTAGAAGACGTTGTCTAGCATCGTCCTCTCTTTTCTTCGGTGCTCTAACAACGACGATTGCCTTTCTCCAGATCTACAACTCCGGTGAGCGATGAGGATCTACCAAAATCGGCTCCTTCTAGATCTGCTTTGTCTTTTATTCTTCCGGATCTACTTTGTCTCCGACCACCTCCAACTATCTTGTTCATCTCTGACCACCAAGGGCTTTCATATGTCGCAATTTATGCTCAGATCGATGTCTTTCACACTGTGTTCATTGATGCACATCTCAACCTCTTCAAATCTCACATTATGTCCTTCACAACTGGCATTCTTTAAATCAAGTGGACTTTAACTCAAATCGAGGTAATGACTTCAAATTTGTTTTTGTGATCGAAGTCCTTGTGTTGTATTGCATTACTACAACAATTTATAGGGGTTTTATGAATGTTACTATGAGATGAAGAATAGTGATTTGGGATGCCGATGGTGGTTATAGATCTAGCATGAGCCTAACAAACTTTGAAAACATTAATCCTTCTATAATCAAATAAATTTTCATTAGCAACCATTAAATCCAAGAAAGGATAAAATAACTAAAAAAAAGATAAATAAATAAAAAAAATAAAAAAAAAAAACGATATAAAATGGAGGAAGGAGAACATAGATAATTGGTACACAACTACTTCTTTTTCATAAATTAATGATAATATATTTAGTTTAATATTCATATTTGTTTAATTATATTAATTGATTTTACACACGATTTTTTATATTTATTGTTAAAAAAGTACTACTAAGATATGTTTTTATATATATTTCATATCGAAATAAGGTAAATCAAAATAATATTTGTGTTGATAATGACTTTTAATTGTCAAAAACTACGATATAGATATATGAGCTTTTTATTTAAAAACTAATTGTGAAATAAGCTTTAGCTAAATATTTATATTATTTAATTCTGGTATGGAGCTATAATTTGTATAAGTATATTTAGTTTTTTTAGTTAATTTGTTCCAAGTAGAAAATTTTCTAGGTTCATTCTATTTTGTAAACAATAATTTCTGTTGAGATATACACATTCCATATTAATTGTTTTCTTAGATATTCGCTAACCAATATAAGATGACTTTTTATTAACTATTTTGTTTAAACATTTTGTATATTATTACTATGAAACAAATTGATATTGTTTATATGGGTTTATATTAATTTTTTTCTTTTTCGGCTCCCCTAATGATCGTGTTTAGCCCGCGTTTAATACATATTTTGATCACAGAGTTATGATTTTGCTTTACCAGTGGTTTTATATATCAGGATATGCCTTTAACGAAATAATAGCTTTTTTCTCATGGAATTATATCGAGGCGTTTGATTTTTATGAATTGCGTGTATCATATATCTATGATGCAATTTTTTGTTATTGTTTTTTCCTTCTATTAAGTTGTGAATATAATGTTTTATTATTTCATATGTCGTACAATGTTATTAATCTTAGTTTTAACTATTGTTAAGTTGAGAATATAGAATTTTTTTTGAATTAAACCATGAACTTACTGTATTAAGACTTTTAATTTGATATTGTTAGTGTAAATGCATATTTTTTGTGTACTAAGATGAGGATATTCAGGTTGATAGCAGCTTGAATTATATTGAGAGACTCGTTGCAATCTTGGATCGGAAAACGAAAACCTTGAGGAACAAGGTAGTCCAGCGAGTGAAGGTGCAATGGCAGCACCGGAAGGGTTCAGAATCGACATGGGAGGCCGAGGAGAAAATAAGGGAGCATTATCCAGAGTTATTTATAGAATCAGCAGCAGCAGACTTCGAGGACGAAGTCTAAGATAAGTGGGGGAGAGTTGTAACGCCCCATTTCTGGTATGTGATTTAAATAAAGTAATTTTCATTATTGAGGAGTACTTGATGAGTCAGTAGCCCGACTCGTCGAGTAGAGATGGGATTTGCACGCGGTTTAAGTTGGCGACTCGATGAGTCCATATTCTCGGACTCGACGAGTCTGCCAGTCTGGATGAAACCCTAATTTCAAGGGTTTGCACCCTATTTAAACGTTATTATAGCCCTAAAACAACCTCCTTCACTCCCCATAGACTTATTCCCGAAACCCTAGCCTCCTTGAAGTGTGTGTGAGTGATCTTTGCCTTGTGAAGGAACTTTTGGTGCATTTTGGAGAAAGGAGAGGAAGGAGAAGGTAGAAGAGCTCAAACAAGAAGAAGTAGATCTAGAATACACTCCTCTTTGGTCATCCCTTATGGTAATAAAGTTTCCATCTTGATTATTGTGCTAATAGATCTAGTTTGTCCCCAAATTGTTGGTTTTATGCTCAAAAACCCCAAATCCTTTGTGATAAAGCCTTGTGATCGAGTCATATCTCATATCTAGCCTCTCTTGAGCTCCAGAAGCTCAAGGAGACCACCTTTTGGCAGCCATGGCTTTGTTTTGGTCTAATAACCCCCATAATATCAAAGTTTGAGTGTTATTGCTTCATTGCATCTTAGATACACGTAAAGTTAGCAACTTTACGTGTTCAGATTGTCCCAGAAGCTTAGATCTATGAATTTGATGCACTAAAGTTGATTAGAATCGACTGTATGGGATCTGCATGCAAAGGACTCGACGAGTTGTTCTTTTGACTCAGCGAGTCAGGTCGCGAATCTTAGACTCCCTGTTCAGTAGTAGCGAATCTGTGTAGTGAGTAGAGTAAGGACTCAGTGAGTTAAGACTTGGATCTGGAAGCAGACGGACTCGACGAGTTGTTCATACGACTCGGCGAGTCGTAGACTAGGTGTGTTCTTATGTTGAAGGGGAACTCGATGAGTTGTTCATACAACTCAGTGAGTCAGTTGAAGGTTGACTCGACATTAATGTAGAAGGAGAACTCGTTGAGTGTTTGCCAAACTCGATGAGTAGTGTCGGGTGGGGGAATAGAAGGAAGGATAGGGACTCGACGAGTTGACGGCCCAAATTGGCGAGTCAGGTCAACTGGAAGTTGACTTTGACCAGGATGTTGACCTTGACTAGATGGTAAAATAGTCATTCTACCCTAAGATTAGTTATCAGTGTTTGATTAAGTGTTTTTATGGGAATTGTAGCCGGTAAGCTACTGCAGCAACAGTCAGACAGTTCCTGATCAGCCTTTCAGCAGTCAGTTGTACGAGGTGAGTTTTCCTTCTAGTAGGAACGGGTCTACGACCATAATGTCGGCCCGTTTAGTCAGCAGTAATTCCGAACTTCGATCCGATGCAATAATTCACTGTGCTTGAGGTCTTTGTGATTCAAGCATGTCTTTGTGTTATGTGTTTTGGATTTCGGTCCGATGCAGTATGCAATATATGTATTTATGCTAGTAGTTATGATTATGATATGTTATGTTTAGTCAGTTTCCGGACTTCGGTCTGATACAGAGGGCAAGGCCCTAGTTAGTTCCGGACTTCATTCTGATGCAGTTTTCGGACTTCGGTCTGATGCAGAGGGCAAGGCCCTAGTTAGTTCCGGACTTCGGTCCAATGCGGTGTTCAGACTTCGGTCTGATGCAGTGGGCAAGGCCCGATATGTGCTTATATGTTATTGTATGGTATGTGGTAGTTTGGGTGAGCTCACTAAGCTTCGTGCTTATAGTTTCAGTTTGGTTTCAGGTACTTCATCTAGCAAGGTGAAGGGCTCAGGTTGATGGCATGGCACACACCACCGTTTTACCCTGGGAGTTATACTCTGATATTTTCCATATGTTTTTTTATATCGGTTTTGATTCGATACATTGTTATGACTTTTTGAGATACACGAGACATGGATTGATAATATGATATTCGAGATTATGTTGTTAGTTGATGTTAAACAAAAAAATTTGGGTTGTAATTTTGGGATGGTTCAAATATGATATGTATTATGTGGATTGTGTGTGGGGTATGCTCTGGGGAATTCACTAAGCATTATCTTACAGTTTGTGGGTTTGTTTCAGGTACATCTAAGCCGAAGAGCAAGGGCAAGGTTAGATGGCGCGTCGTGCACTCTCTCTCTCTCTCAGAGGCATTTTTATGGGACACTCTGATGATTTGAAATAAATTATTATTATTGTGAATTTGAAAATAATTGTATTTGGGATTTCATGGTTTATGGAAAGTATTTGGCTAATTAAAAATGAAAATTTTCTTTTGAAAATTGGGTCGTTACAAGTTGGTATCTGTGACAACTGTCAATTCAGGTCATTCTCGGACTCATGCATCTTTATAAAAACCATTCATGCACAACATGCCATGGCCTAGTAGTATAAATTAGGTCAAAAATCTTGCATAAACTAGGATCCAACTAAGGTCTAGGACTAATATACTTGACGCTTACAATTCTAGTAAGTTGCTTAGCTACAATAGGAAATGCCAATACTATAATTAGAATAAAGCTTCAAGCTTTGTTATAATTGAAATAGGGTATAAAACCCTAAAAATAAATTAAAACATTCTAATTATACTTCAACATGTTGTTGAATATCAAACAATATTCCAAAAACCCTAAAGAGCCAAAAATCCAAAGTTATAAATTATAAAGCTTAAAAACTTTATAAAATTTGGCTATAAACTTCCTAATATCAAATTGTTATTAATCAAATTATGAATTATAGTCAATGAAATAGAAATTAAATTACCAAGTATTAATCATAATTTATTTGTTGAAAACAAGATTTTTAAATAAATA